GCTCAGGCAATCCACTCACCTCAGCCTCCCGGGATTACAGGCTGAGCCACCGAGCCCGGCTAGTTGTATTGCTATTAGATTGCAATTTATTTTTTCTAAAGAGCTTTCTTAAGGTATAGGTGATATACAGTAAACTATATATTTAAAGTGTGCACACTTGATAAGTTTTGACATGTTTATACACATGAAAACATCACCACAATCAAGATAATGAACGTATTCAGTACTCCCAAAATTTCCTTATCATTGTGTCTTTTTGTAATCTCTCCCTCACTGTTCCCCTCAGCCCCTGCTGCTGTTTTGCTTTCTGTCACTCTAGCTTAGTTTGCATTTTATTTTTATTTTATTATTTTTTGAGTCAGGGTCTCACTACGTCCCCCGGGCTGGAGTGCAGTGGCATGGACACAGCTCACCCCAGCTTGACCTCCTAGGCCAAGCAATCCTTCTGCCTCAGCCTCTCAAATAGCTGGGACTATAGACACGTGCCACCACACCTGGCTACTTTTTTGATTTTTTTTTGCGGAGATGGGCTTTTGCTGTGTTGTTCAGGCTGGCCTCGAATTCATGGGCTCAAATTATCCTACCACCTCAGTTTTCCAAGGTGTTAGGATTACAGATGTAGGCCACCATGCCTGGCTTAGTTTGCATTTTTAAGGTTTTACATAAATGGAAGCTTACAGTATATATTATTTTCTTTTTGTTTGACTTTTTTCACTCAGTGTAGTTATTCTGAAATTCATCTGTGTTGTTGTACGTATCAAAAAATACTGTTTCTTTTTTTACTGAATGCTATTCCACTATATGGATGTATCCCAATTTGTTCATCCTATAGTGGAGAGGTTTTTTTTTTTTTTTGCTGTTGAGTTGCTTCCAGTTTTTTGCTATTACAAATAAAGCTGTTATGAACTTTCACGTAGTTGTCTTTGTATGGACATATGCTTTCATTTCTCTTGGATGGATCGTTAGTTGTGGAATGGCTAGGTCATATGGTAAATGAGTTTAACTTTTTATGAAGCTGCCAAACTGTCTTCCAAAGTCGTTGAATTATTTCACATTCCCACTAGCAGTGCATGAGAGTTTCACTCATTGCAAATTCTAGCCAACATTTGAAATCTTTTTTTTTTTGGTATAGTATTTTTAATTTGAGACATTCTAAAATACGTATAGCAGCATCTCATTGTAGGAAATTTGCATTTCCCTAATGACTAAATGATGTTGAACATCTTTTCAAGTCTCACTTGCCATTTATATATCTTATCTGATGAAATGTTTGTTCAAATCTTTTGCCCATTTTTAAATTGACAATTTAAAATTGAGTTTTCTTGTTGGGCTTTTATTATTGAGATATAATTTACATACCATCAGATTCACTATTTTAAAGTGTACAATTCAGTGTTTTTTAGTATATTTACAAAGTTGTGCAACTGTTACCACTGTCTAATCCTGGATCATTTCGTCACCCCAAAAAGAAACCTCATACCTTTTAGCAGTCACTCCTCATTCCCCTTTCCTCATGGCTGATGGCAACACTAATCTATTTTGTGTCTCTACAGATTTTCCTATTCTGGACATTTTATATCCCTCCCCCCCCCAAAAAAAATCATACAGTATGTGGTTGGTCCTTTGTGACTGACTTTTTTCTCTTAGTATATCTTCAAGGGGCATCCATATTATAGCATATATCAGTACCTCATTCTTTTTTATGGACAAGTAATAGTTCATGGTGTGAATGCCATATTTTGTTTATCCGTTCATTAGTAGATGGACATTTGGGTTGTTTCTAGCTTTTTGCTGTTATGAATAACTCTGCTATAAACATCTCTGTACCATTTTTGGGGTGAGCATATGCTTTCAGTTCTCTTGCATATATAACCTAGGAGTGGAATTGTTGGGTCATGAGTTACTCTATGTTTAACTTTTTGAGGCATTACCAAACTGTTCCCCATGGCGGCTGGACCATTTTATTTTATTTTATTTTATTTTTGAGTTGGAGTCTCACTCTGTTGCCCAGACTGGAGTGCAGTGGCCGCTCCCGGCCACCGCAGCCTCGACCTGCTGAGCTCTGGCGATCCTTCCGCCTCAGCCTTCCAAGTAGCTGGAATTACAGGCATGCGCTACCACGCCCGGCTGACTTTTTGTAGAGATGAGGTCTCGCTGCCCAGGCGGGTCTCGAACCCGCGGTCTCAGGCAATCCACTCACCTCAGCCTCCCAAAGGCGCGGGATTACAGGCTGAGCCACCGAGCCCAGCTGGCTGGACCATTTTAAATTCTCCACTGCTTGGAGTTCATTGAACTTCTTGTGTATGTGGGCTAAAATTTGGAAAAATTTCAGCCATTACTTCTTAAAATATTTTTCTATTCCTCCCTCATTTTGGGAAATACAATTATATGTATAATAACCTTAAAGTTACCTCATAGCTCACTGATACTCTACTAGTTTTCCTCGTTTTTTTCCCCCCTGCATTTCATTTTGGCAAGCTATTGCTATGCTTTTAAATTCACCAACATTTTCTTAGGTAATATCTAATCTACTGAAAAGCCTATCTGGTATATTTTTCATTTTAGGATTATAATTTCCTTTTTCTTTTGAGTTAGAGTCTCTCTGTCACCCAGGCTAGAGTGCAGTAGCACGCTCATGGCCACCGCAGCCTCGACCTGCTGGGCTCAGGTGATCCTTCCACCTCGGCCTTCCAAGTAGCTGGAATCAGGCATGTGCCACCATGCCTGGCTAATTTTTTTTTTATTTACTGTACGGGTCTCACCATGTTGCTCAGGCTGGTCTCGAACCCCTGAGCTCAGGTAATCCTCTTGCCTCCACCTCCCAAAGTGCTGGGATTATAGGCTTGAGCCACTGCACCCAGCTAGGATTGTAATTTTCATCCCTAGAAGGTTTATTTGGGTCTTAAAAAAGAAATCTTCCCTTGTCTCAACATGTCTACTCTTTCCTCTAGCTTCCTGAACTTATGAACTACAGGTATTATAACTGTTTTAATGTCCTGGTCTAATAATTATGTCATTTGTATCATTTCTGAGGCAAGTTTTTATTAATTTTCCTTCTCATTATTGGGTAAATTTTCCTGTTTGTTTGCATGCCTGGTGATTTTTTTTTTTTTAGATTGGGAAATATAGTTTATTTAAAAAGTAAATTGGAGAGAGAAAGAGAGAGAGAAGATTCACCTCCCCAAGGTAGGGGAGGGGGCCAAAGCTAGGAAATGTGGTGGTCATAGCTCAAAGAGCCACGTGACCAGACCAGAGATTAACAAAGCAATGACCCACCTGGTGATTTTTGTTGGATGCCAGACATTGTGGATTTTAGCCATGTGCTAAATATCTTTTATTTCCCATAAATATTATTTTTTTTCTTAAGGTGCAAGTGTATAGATTTTCCATAAATATTTATAAATTTAATTACAGCTGGGTGTGGTGGCTCACGCTGGCAATTCTAGAACTTTGGGAGGCTGAGGAGCCCAGGAACTTGAGGCCCACCTAGATAACAAGTAAAACCTCATCCCTACAAAAAATTTTTTTAAAAATTAACCAGACGTGGTGGCATGTACCTGTAGTTTCAGCTACTCAGGAGGCTGAGGTGGAGGGATTACCTGAGCCCAGGAGGTCAAGGCTGTGGTGAGCCATGATCATGCCATTGCACTCTAGCCTGGGTGACAGAGTATGAGACTCAGACTAAAAAGAATTTTTAAGTTTTAGCTTCGGGGGTACATGTGCATGTTTGTTACGTAGGATATTGTATACTGCTGGAGATTGGGCTTCTAATGTACCCATTATTCAAATGACGAACATCGTTTCGGATGGGTAAGTTTTCAGCCCTCACCTCCTTCACAACCTCCCCTCATTGAAGTCCGTAGTGTCTGTTATTTCCATCCTTATGTCCGTGTGTATTCATTGTTTAGTTCCTCTTATAAGTAAGAACATGAGGTATTTGATTTTCTGTTTCTGAGTTAGTTCACTTAGGATAATGGCCTCCAGATCCATCCATGTTGCTCCAAAGGACATGATTTCATCCTTTTTTATGGCTGTCCCGTAAATATTTTTGAGTTCTTTTTTGGGATTCAGTTAAGTTACTTGGACTCGTACTTAGTTGGATCCTTTCAAGTCTTGACTCTAAGTTTTGCTAGGCAGGACCATAGCAGCATCTGCTGTAGGACCAATTTTGTTCCAGCACTGTTACAAAACCCCTCTTAAGTACTCAATTCTTGTGAACTATGAGATTTTTTTTTACTCTGGCATGTTAAAGGGAACCCTCCTGGAGTTGGGTGACCTCTAGGGATTGATCTCCTAATCCCTGTGTGTGTTTTTTTGCCCATTGTTGCTTTGGGGAGTTTTTCCACAGGCATATAGCATTCAGCTGAAGACTCAGGGGCAACCTCTGCAGATCTGACTCTTTGCATATCTCCAGAGCTCCTTCCTGTGTGACTCTCCACCCTCTTGTACTCTGCCCTGTGAGCTCTGGCTGCTCTGGTCTCTCCAGCCCCACTTCATTTCTCCTCAATTCAAAGAGACTGCTGGACTGTTTGTTTTCTGTTTCTCAGGGGCCACTATCTTTCACTGACTAATGTTCAATATCTTGAAAACTATTGTTTCAATTATTTTATCTTTTTTTTTAGTTGTTTCACGTGAGAGAGCAAATCTGTTCCCTGTTACTATATATTGCCTGAAAGTAAAATTTCTCATCCAACTATTATTTCTTCAGAAAGTTTATTTCTACTCAATTCTTTTACTCTCACTACTACATTCAATTACTCATTTGTTGACTCTTTCGATGCCGTCTCATAGGTCACTGTAGCTCTGTTAATTATTTTCCAATGTGTTTTCTTTCTTTTTTCAAATTGGATAATTTCTAATGATCTGTCTTTGGGCTCACTGTTTTTTTATACCATCTCGAATCTGCTGGTTTGTTTTTAAAATTTAGGAACTGTATTTTGGTGTTTTTTTTTTCTAGTTTCTGTTTTTCTGCTGAGAGTATCTATCTATTCATTATGAGCATATTTTCTTTATCTTCTTAAACATAGCTACAATTGCTGCCCTAAAATCCCTGTCTTCTAAATCCAGCATGTACCATCTCAAGGTTGGTCTCCACTGATTGCCTTTTTCTTAAGTATGGGTCATGTTTTCCTATTTCTTTGTGTGTCTGTCTAGTAATTCTAGGTTACATTTTGGACATTGTGAATGATGCATTGTAGAGGGTCCAGGTTCTGTCTTTTCCTCCAATGAATATTGTGCTTTTGTTTCAGCGGGCAGTTAATTTGACTGAACTCAAACTCCAAACTTGTCTTTCCTGCAGTTGGCAGCAGATGAAATCACTGTTTAGTCTTTTTTAGCTTTGGTTAGGCTGCATTGAGTCTGTCTTTTGCATACACAGTTCAAGAGTCTGCCAGAGATTTGGTCAAAGATCATTTGCAGAATTTGCATCTCTTCTATAGCTCTATCCTTCAAGGTGCTTTTCCTTACACCTTCCAGCTCCCATGGTTGCTCTGAACTCATCTTTTAATTCCTGAACAGTAGGACTGCATGTTTCTGAATTTCAGCTACCTCCTTTAGTTCTGACTGATGCCTGTTCTCAGGCAAGAGTCCATAAAAAACTGAAAATTCACCCAACTGTTCTCTTTTTCCAAGTATTGAATACCATACAGTTTCTCCCTACTGTTGATCACTTTCCAATATCTTCAGGTTTTTAAAAATATTTTTGTCTAAAATATTAATTTATTACTCATCAGACTTGCCAGGAATAGCAACTCTATGAAGCAAATATGAACAAATAAAACGAATTTAGAGTTAGACACATTTGAGTTGAAATTCTGACTCAGTCTAGGATTTTCTAGGCTTCTAGTTGTTGCTTAACTACCATGAACCTTAACTTCCTTGGGTGTTAATGGGGAAGGATAGTTTTTAGATAATGAGATTTTACTCATCTGTTCTGGAAATAAGAGAGTGGGACTGAAGACAACTACTTCCACCGACAGTTAACTTCAAAATATATATTTTTTTAATTACAAGAGAAATTCAGAGATAATTCTATGCTAGAAATCAACTTCTTGCATTTTCTGGTCTATATTTAACTGCAGAAGATTTGTTATAAAAAGGGAAACAATGTTATGAACTAGTCCTAAAGATTGTGTTACTTTAAAATCTGAAAATATTACGTCTATAAATAATATTTATTATTAATAATTATTTGACAGCTATCGTCTTCACTAATGAGAAATGAATTTATTCCAGTTATATTTATGTCCCTACTTTCTGAGAAATTTGTTTCAGTCTTTCAAGTAATTTGTCAATTTTCATGGAAAATTGACTAAATGAATGTTAGAAGATTTTTTTTTTTGAGTTGGAGTCTTACTCTGTCACCCAGACTGGAGTGCAGTGGCCGCTCCTGGCCACCACAGCCTCAACCTACTGGGCCCTGGCGATCCTTCCGCCTCAGCCTTCCAAGTAGCTGGAACTACAGGCGCGTGCTACCATGCCCAGCTAATTTTTTGATTTATTATAGAGATGAGGTCTCACCTGCCCAGGCGGGTCTCGAACCCGCGGGCTCAGGCAATCCACTCACCTCAGCCTCCCAAGGCGCGGGATTACAGGCTGAGCCACCGAGCCCGGCTTATTAGAAGATTTTAAGAGTGAGTTTATTTTTAATCTTAATAAGAGCTCTCTTTCCTCTTGAGAAGATCCAATAATCTGTTTGACTATAATTTTACATTTCATGTGTAGTTATAAGTTTATGATTAAAAACATAACTCATTTCCTTGATTTATTATATCCACAGTCTCTATTTGAGCATATGTTTAAGTAATTTTCAAAAACAAAATTGGCTTCATTATGAAAGAACGGGAAAAAGGGCAGGAGGTTGAATAGAAACATTTTTTAAGACCTTGTATTATTTTACACTAGTGTTATTTCTTCTAGGTATAGAGTTTGTCTTAGGTTGCACTAAGCTTTAGTGAAACCCTTGACATAATTTTAGTCCTGTAAGAATTAAAACTGTCTTACATAGTCAAAAATCCTCAAATAGAGGTCTACTTGTATTATTTTAACTCTTAAAGGTAGAAGCATTTTATAGGATGTGAAAAAAGATGGTTCTAATAACTGTGTGACTCTAGGCAAGTCATTTGACCATTCTGGGACTCAGAATGTCTGTGAAATGAGCTATGTTTTGCTGTAGCCGAGTTTTTTTTTTTTTTTTTTTTTGAGTTGTAGTCCCACTCCATTGCCCAGACTGGAGAGCAGTGGCACACTCCCGGCCACTGCATCCTTGACCTGCTGGGCTCTGGCGAGCCTTCCAAGTCACTGTAACTACAGGCGCTCATTACCATGCCCAGCTACGAGTTTTTAAAAAATACTTGATTATGTGATTTGAAGTTTAGAAGAGTTGCATTTACAGAGAACTTGTCAGAGATGTGTCTGTCACACAAAAATAATGAGTCCAGGTAGTACTAATTATTTAATTTTTACAATATTTGATTTTCAAAGTTTAATTCCATCCTTTTAGGCCTTAGCTAAAGAAGATACTGATACAGCTATTCAGTCAATATTATACAGAGAAAATTACATAATTAAGGTAAGAATTGGCTATAAAGTGCATCTCAATTAAAAGCTGAATTTTGTTTTTTCTTTTGAAATTAAATGCATTCTATTAAAAACATTTAGAAAATAGAATTTAAAACATTCATTTGCACCAGCAATTAACATTAATGGATTTTTGAGTCTACTTTAATGGAGTTCCTTTCTTCCTATACTTTGTGGGTATTCCTTCACAGGTAGGCATAAGAATTTCCTCTACTCAGTTGCTTCTTCATCTTTGTGCGGTTTGACAGTCACTGTGAATGAGCTAATCCTTAAGAGCTGTTATCAGAACACACTAATTCATCCTCAGGTATACACAAGGAAGAACAGAGTTTAACTGTAGTAGGATGGCTTCTTTAGAAAAGAACATCTATGTGAAACACACTAAACGCTGGAGCAGATAACCTGTTTTTAGGAGTTCTTTTTTTGTTTTAAGAGTTTTTTTTTTTTTTTTTTAAAGGAAAGAAGCCGTCACAGGGAATTATTGAAGTGTGCTATGACCTGAAGTTAGGGCGGGATATGGCCTAGGGGACCTCTTGGGGTTCTTAGTATTTTGTTTTTTTCACTTTGAATTTCATGTTGACCCCAGAAATCACATGACTTCATTTGCTGTATTAAAGGTAAATGGGAAGTTTTGGTGGCAATGTATTAGTTTATGGCTTAATCAAACATCTTCTTTGCGACTATTTACTATTTGTCCTAGGTTGTGCCCACTTCTGCCTCTTTACTCTTGTCTTTTTTTCCCCCTTAAACTCAGTAGTTCAGTTGCACTGAAGGACTTTTTAATTTTTTTCATAGAATGTTTTTCTTGAAACAGGCATGGCATTTAATGCCTGTTACCCCAGCTACTCAGGAGGCTGAGGTGGGAAGATTTCTTGAACCCAGGAGTTTGAGGTTGCAGTGAGCTATGATTGAGTCACTGCACTCCAGCATGGGTGACAGAGTGAGACCCCCTATCTAAAAAATTTTTTTCCCTTATTCTCTGTCTTCCCTTCTCTTCCTAGATAACTCCTCATTCTTTAAGCCTGTCTTAATGTTTTTTAAGACTGTTTTTAAGACTGTCCAAATGTCTCTCGCTTTGGGAACCTGTTTTTTTTGAGTTGGAGTCTCACTCTGTCGCCCAGACTGGAGTGCAGTGGCCACTCCCGGCCACCGCAGCCTCGACCTGCTGGGCTCCGGCGATCCTTCCACCTCAGCCTTCCAAGTAGCCAGAATTACAGGCATGCGCTTCGCTGCCCAGGCAGGTCACGAACCCGCGGGCTCAGGCCATCCACTCACCTCAGCCTCCCAAAGGCACAGGATTACGGGCTGAGCCACCGAGCCCGGCGGGACCTTTTTTTTTTTTTTTAATTTAATCATTTAAAAAAATGTTGGTAAAATATAGACACTATAAGCTTTGTCATTTTAACTATTTTTAAGTGTATTATTCAATGACATTAATTACATTCACAATGTTGTACAGCCATAACCATTATTTCCAAAATGTTTTCATCACCCCAAACTGAAACTTTGCACTCAACAGGCAATGACTTCTCATTTCCCCTTTCCCCAAGCACCTGGGAACCTCTAATCTACTTTCTGTAAATTGGATTTCTTTTTTCTAGTTACTTCATGTAGGTGGAATCCTGCAAATTTGGTCATTTGTATTTGGCTTATTCTATTTGGGCTTGCTGTTTTCAAGGTTCATCCACATTGTGCATATTCAGAACTTCATTCTTTTTTATGGCAGAATATTATTCTATTGTATGTATATACCATATTTTGTTTATCCATTAATCCGTTGATGGACATGGGTTGTTTCCACTTTTTGGCTATTATAAATAATGCTGCAGTGAATATTGGTGGAGAAGTATCTATCTGATCCCTTGCTTTTAATTCTTTTGGGTATACATCTAAGAGTAGTATTGCTGGGTCATATGGTAAGTCTGTTTGACTCTTTGAGGAATCACCAGATTGGGAATCTTTTAAAACTCTAGAAAATGTGTTTCTCTTTGTGTGTTTAGTTTTTTTTTTATATAGTATGGTAAACATATATGCGTTATATATGTGAATGTATATCTTACTGTGTTATCCTTCTTCCACCATTTTGTAGATTTGTTGTTTTTGTTTGTTTTTAGAGATTTTGTCTAGGCTGCAGTACAATGGTTTTTCATGGGACAATCATAGTACACTGCAGCCTCGATCTCCTGGGCCCAAGTTATCCCTCTGTCCTGCCTCAGCTCCCTGAGTAGCTGGGACTACAGGCAGGTGGCACCATGCCTGGCTTTTTAATTTTTTAAAAATTTCTTATTTATTTAACTTTATTTTAAAGATGTGGGGTACAAGTCAGAATGAGGTACTTAGGTGGTCTACATGTGGGTGAAGTTTGGGCCTCTCACTGGTCCTCACTTCCCCTGGTTTAGGATCAGCTACCCTTAATGATATGTGCCTGGTTTTTGATTTGTTTTTTTGTCTTTGTCCCCAGGGAGAACAAGCATGTTTCAATTATCTGTGTGTTCTTTGTCTGCAGTATAGTATATATCACAGAGTAGAAGCCAAATAAATGACTGAATTAACAAATGCCTATGGATTATTCTTAGGAATATGTTAAGCTTATGAAGTTTTAGTTGTAGAAAATTTTAGAACAAGGAAGCTTTAGGATAATATATTTATCTTTTCTATCACTATTTACTAGGAACTAGATAAGTATTTACAACATCATGACTTCCTAAATGTAAGAAGAAAAGAGATGTTATATAAAAGATGGGTTGACCACGTGGCAGATCCTATCCAGAAGAAAATTATAGAAAATGTTTGTTCATATAAGGAGATTAAAAAAAGGAGACAAGAGGAATTAGATGGTTTTCTAAAACACACAAATAAAAAGGTACTAAAAGATTGTTTGATACTTTTTACAGTTAGTTTAAAACCTATGGCTATATCTGTTCATTCTTAATCATCCAAATAGCCTGCCCCTTCCCCTTCTGTGTATGTATGTCTGCAATCCGTTATAGCATAAGTATTCTTAAATTCAGGACATGTGGAGAGGACAGAGGACCAAGGTTAGATCTGGATTTAACTGTGTACCTTAAAACCATTTTTCTTTGCTTTCCTCATGTAATTATTAATTTTATTTACCAATTAAAAAAATTTAGACTCTAGGTTCAGATCATATTTTTCTTTTGTTCTATAACTCAATTATTTGTAAAGCTACAAAATATTTTTATTCTTCTGGCATTTTGAAAAGATCTGAGATATTTGACTAGTAAGCATTTAAAAACAATCCCCAAATCTTTTTGTGTGCCAACATTCTTTATTAAAATCTTACAAATTTTAAATCGACTTCTTCCATCACTACAATATTTATTACTTGAATAAATTTAATTTCAAATTTAGTCTTTTGCTGGATGCAGTGGCTCACGCCTATAATCCCAGCACTTTGGGAGGCCAAGGTGAGAGGATTGACGGAGCCCATAGGTTTGAGACCAGCCTGGGCAACTTGGTGAGACCTCATCTCTACAATAAATAAAAAAATTATCCAGGCGTGGTGGCATGGGTCAGTTCCAGCTATTTGTAAGGCTGAGGTAGAAGAATCGCCTGAGCCTAGCAGGTGGAGGCTATGGTGTCCAGGAGCATACCACTGCCCTTCAGCCTGGGCGAGAGAGTGAGATTCCAACTCAGAAAAAAAATTTAGTATTTATTTTCTTTTTGCATTTATCATTGATACCACTTTGAAGCATTAGACTGATATCGTGTATTTGATTTTCCTGGTATGTTCAAAATTAATTGTGCATTTTTTGTTCTTATGTGTGGTTTTATTTCTTTCCTACAGGGAAATGCATTTATAGAACATTATGATCCAAAAGAGTATGATCCTTTTTATATGAGCAAAAAGGACCCCAGTTTTCTGAAGGTAGGGTGTATTTCTTATTTTGACTTTGGTATTATGTGTTTGGTTTGGTGTTTTCAGCAGTCCTAATGTATGAGTGAGTAATCCTTTAGTGATTCCCTAAAACTGCAGAAATATTTAAAGCATAGTTTTCATAGACTTTTAAATTTGTTAAAAAGTAATACATTTTCTTTCTCTCTCTCTCTCTCTCTCTTTCTTTTTTTTTTTTTTTGAGTCGGAATCTCACTCTGTTGTCTAGGCTGGAGTGCAGTGGCATGCTCACAACCACTGCAGCCTCGACCTGCTGGGCTCAGGCAATCCTTCTGCCTCAGCCTTCCAAGTAGCTGGAACTACAGGTGTGCACCACCACAACCAGCTAATTTTTATGATTTATTGTAGAGACAAGGTCTCGCCGTGTTGCCCTGGCTGGTCTCAAACACATGGGCTTAAGCAATCCTCTTGCCTCAACCTACCAAAGTGCAGGGATTATAGGCGTGTGCCCCTGTGCCCAGCTAAGTAATACATTTTCATGTTAGAAAAATGAGAAAATTGATTTTCAAATAAAGAAAATTAAAAACCTGTCATAATGTCATTTTCCAGAATTAACTCATCGTAATATTAACTCATTATTATTTTTCTGTATATCCTTCTAGATTACATTTGGTTTTATAATGTGCTTCTTTCCACTCCTGACAGTTTATGGTTTACTTCTTTGTAAAAAATATATAAATATATAATTTTAATAATTGCATAGTATTTTATTATTAGTATTACATTTAGTCAAGATCTCACTCTTTTGCCCAGGCTGGAGTGCTATGTACAATCATGACTCACCACAGCATCAACCTCCTGAGCTTAGACCATCTTTCCACCTCAGCCTCCCAAGTAGCTGGGACTACAGGCGCACCACCATACCTGGCTAATTTTGAAATTTTTTTGTAGAGGCGAGGTCTCACTATGATGCCTAGGCTGGTCTTGAACTCCTGGGCTCAAGCAACTGTCCTGCCTTGGTCTCCCAAAGTGTTGGGATTACAGGGGTGAGCCACTGCACAAGGCCTGTTCTATTATTAATAGCAGCTGCTTTGTACTGAAGGCTTAACCAAATGTTAAGCCTTTCTTTCCCCCATTGTATTTCATCATCGCTGCTACTGTGCGAGGTAATTCACAGATGAGGCAAGTGAGACACGGATGGGATATTTGTCAGTCTTATCATACCATAATTTCTTCAATAAATTCCCTATTTTGAACACCTAGATTGTTTTTGCCAATTGCCATGACAAATGATGTCATGATGAAACATCTCTGTAACTATTTATTTCTTAAATTTTCCTCAGATTAAGTTGCTAGAAGTAGAGTTGCTGAGTTAAAGGATTTGCATGATTTTAATTCAAATTGTTAAATTGTCCTCCAGGTAGGTTGTATATACCTACACTCCTACCAGAGAGTCAATTTTTCCACACTTTTGCTAACAGTGAATATTATTTTAAAAAATATACCCATCCGCACAAAAAATTGCCTTGAGTTGCAGACATTTTAAACTGCTGGCATTGGCACAGAAATTCTAGGTTCTTTTTTAAAAATTGGGTGTGTGGAAAAAAAAAATGGGTGTGTGTGTATCTGTGTATGTGTAATATTGTTCCCCCCCCACCTTTTTTCCCCCTAAGTCAGGGTCTCATTCTGTCACCTAGACTGGAGTGCAGTGGCAAGATCATGGTTCACTGCAGCCTCGACCTCCTGGGTTCAGGCAGTCCTTCATCCTTAGCCTCCCTTGTACCTGGGACTATAGGACTACCACACCTGGCTAATTTTTAATTTTTTATACAGACAAGGTCTCTTTATGTTTCCCAGGCTGGTCTCTGACTCCTGGGTTCAAGTAATTCTCCTGCCTCAGCCTCCCAAAGTGCTGGGATCACATGTGTGAGTCATTGCATCCAGTCTGTTCTTATTTATTTGTTTATTTATTTTAAGTTGGAGTCTCACTCTGTCACCCAGACTGGAGTGCAGTGGCTGCTCCCGGCCACCACAGCCTCGACCTGCTGGGCTCCAGCGATCCTTCCGCCTCAGCCTTCCAAGTAGCTGGAACTACAGGTGTGCGCTACCACGCCCAGCTAATTTTTTGATTTATTGTAGAGATGAGGTCTCGCCAAGTTGCCCAGACTGGTCTCGAACCCGCGGGCTCAGGCAATCCACTTACCTCAGCCTCCCAAAGGCGCGCGATTACAGGCTGAGCCTGGCTTTGTTCTTATTTTTATAGGTGAGATTTAAACTGAAAGTATAGAACCTTAGACACACTAACTAATAACACAGCTAGTAAGGGGCAACACTGAGATTTGAAACCAGATTAAATTAGAGATGAGCATTGCTATATTGCTCAGGCTGTGTTTGGACTCTTGAACTCAAGCAAGCCTCCTGCCTCAGCCTTCCAAGTAGCTGGGTCTACAGGTACACACCACTGTGCCTGGCTCAAATCAGATCTTTTTGATACTGTTTTAGTGCATTCCTTTTGCTATAACAAAATAAGTTAGACTACATAATTTAAAAACAACAAAAATTTGATGATCTACAAGTGCTCCTATCTCAGTAGAGATAGGAGAGTTTCAGGACGTATAATTATTGGTAAAACTTTAAAATATGGCTGGACATGGTAGCTCACACCTGTAATCCCAGCATTTTGGGAGACTGAGGTGGGAGGATCACTTGAGGCCAGGAGTTTGAGACCAGCCTGTCGCTACAAAAAATAAAATTTAAGAAACCTAAAGCAAACAAACACAAAAAACTTTAGATGGTTCTTTGTTTCTCTCTTCAATTTAAAATTTAAAATTTAAAATTTGGAGGTTGCTTCAAGATGGCTGGCTAGAGGCATCTGGCACTCACTTGCTCCACAAAGAAGAGCCCCAACAGCCAGTAGATAATTATACTTTAAATAGATCATCTAAAACAAAAACCAAAAAATAAATCAATAGATCATCTAAGAGATGACAGATTCAACAGAAGAGTGACAAGAAACACCTAAGGCAAGGAAGGGGAGGGAAGTGAGGCAGCCTGATCCGCTTCTAAACTAGCACAGGAAGCTGCCTGGAGATACTCGAGGGCACTGTTCTAGAGAGTGCCCCACCAAGACTGGGTGGCACACACCACCAAGACCTAAGCAACTACAGCCAAGGGCCATTTTGAGAGCCCAGTCCCCACCAGACCACATCCTGCTCTGGGACCCACAGCTCCTGCGTCTCAGCATCCCTGGAGCCCTACTAATGACCCCCACCTGCAGCTGCTCCCAGTGGCGGGGGCCCCCACTCATTTTCATGCACCCTGAGAGCAGGCTCTCCCACCTGCGACTGCCACCAGGGCTGAAGCATGAGCTTCCTAGATGCCTGCTTACAGCTGCTGCCACTGAAAGCAACCCCACCCTATGCAGCGGCAGGGCCACAGTGCAGCCGCTACCACATCTACCCAAGTACTCTTTCAGGGAGCCTGAGGATGGGCCCACCCAGCCTGCGACCACCACCACAACTGGCACCCAACTGCATGCTCCACTGCCAGCACCCAAGCAAGTCACCTGGAAGCCCAAGAAAGGTCCCACCTGGACCCGCTATTGCTGGTACTAGTGTTCACTGCCCTGGGGCTCAAGGATGGGCACAATTGGCCCTCCACTGCCTTATGGAGGGCCAAGGACTGGCCCCAGCAAAATTCACCGCAGCCTTCACTAACAATTGCACCCTAAGCCACTGAAGAGAACACAGGCACCACTGACACTGTGCAGCTGAAGATATTATATGGAGACTACACTGCTGCATGCCCCCAGAATCAAACCCAAAGTGCCCTACCCAACTAACAACATAGATATGTCTTCAGGAAAAAGTCCTCCCCTACAAAAGAAAATCAAAAAAATTGGAAGGAGTAACTGTTATCCCAGATGCGCAGATATCAATGTAAGGACACAAGACACACGAAAAAGCAAGGAAATATGATACCTCCAAAGGAACACAATAATTCTTCAGCAACAGATTTCAATAAAGTTTAAAATTTGATTTGTTATTCATGTATGAATAGATGACATACAAATATCTGAACATGACAGCAGTTTTTGTCTCTTTTTATAGTGAGTTAACATTTTCTTACTATTTTATAATTAGCACTCTTCATAACTTCTGTAAAAGCAAAATTCTAGAGGGTAGTCTGATCACTGTTTATTTGAATTAGTAGTCATGATGTGTATTATAATTACCCCAGAGGCCAGTTGCCAATGGCTCATGCTAGTAATCCCAGCACTTTGAGAGGCCAAGGTGGGAGAACTGCTTGAGCCCAAGAGTCTGAGACCAGCCTGGGCAACACATTAAGACTTCATCTTTACAAAAAATGAAAAAATTAGCTGAACATGATGGCACATGCCTGTAGTTCTAGCTACTCAGGAGGCTGAGGCAGGAGGATCACCTGAGCCTAGGTGGCTGAGGCTGCAGTGAGCCATGATTGTCCCACTGTACTCCAGCCTGGATGACAAAGTGAGACCTTGACTCAGAAATAAATAAATAAATTCCCCCAGAGAAATCAGCTTGATTACTATTAGAAAGATCTATGGGTAACCTTTTCAACTTGTGGTAGAATGTCACTGACTAGGCCTAGACCATGAATGTGACTTGTTGAATGTCATTTTCTTATGTAGACTGTCATTTTGATACTGATAATAACCTTGGTCATTAAAATAGATGAAGAAGTCGGGCTCGGTGGCTCAGCCTGTAATCCCGCGCCTTTGGGAGGCTGAGG